CTAAATAACAGGGATATGAACATCTCAGTATATACTGGGATATACATCCATTGAGATATAAAAACCTCTTAGAGCTAGGCTTTAAATAATAAGATATTACAATAATCCCAATGGAAATAAGTCATTGACCTTTTTGGGTTATCCTAGGTAATTTACATATATGTTACTAGGTATAATAAATTATACTTATGTGTAACTGTACCTAAATGAACTTACTTGCCTACCTTTTCACTCGAGTGTTTACACAGGGATATGCACACCTGTCCATGATAAAGCTTTAAAGTGTAGTTGACACTTGGCGATGAACTTAGGAAACCCACGTGGAGACACCGTGTAGAAAGGGAGAATATTTTTCGGTCTCTGTATGAGATTCTCTCTGATAATGTCAAACGGAGATCGAAATATACATACATTTTGTATACTAAGTTTCTGTCTACATGTGGGTTTCCTTTGTATACCTCCATGTGTATACACTAGGATAAAGACACCTCTCGGAGTATATACATGGGTACACTCCTCTCGGTGTTCATTCATGGATATACACCTCTCGGTGTATATTTACGCTTCTCAGTGTACTCACTGGATATGGAACACATATCTTGGTGTGTATTCGCGAAATGCACACCTCTCTGTGTATATATATTGATGCATCTCTAGGTATATAAACGCTGGGACATACACACTTTAGGTGTATACACAGTGGCATATACACCTTTGTTTATACCCCGTGAACACTTTGTGCAAATGAGAGCACCAAAAGCACTGAAATAACGAGCAGGCTCCGCCGACGATTAAAACAAACAGTAACCACAACAAGAGGACTAAATAAGTACCATGTTGCAAAAACAAGATAGAGCTGAGTAAATGAAAACAAGGCAGTATTATTAAAGCACTAACACGCCTCAAACTGCAAAGGTTAAGCAACTGGATAAACTATCTAACAGATGACAGAGATAACAGACAAGGGGACCCGTCACTGCTGTGTAGCGGCCGGGTCTCCCTGCTTGGTTATGCCCGCAGGATTTACAATACTACACTAATTCCAGAGATCCAGTCACCCCAGTAAGAAGTGATTAATCGGCTGCTCTGGACAGATTTATGACACTGGGAGTTTGTTTGCCACATTCAACTGCAAGACGAGTGAGGCTTGTGTTGCGACTGTGGAGGATATGCTACGGTTATCGTGAAATTAACGCCTAGTTCATCCTGCAAACGACACTCAACAAAATACATTTAACGTTTGTCCGCTATATATTCAGGTACAAAATTTCTGGTAAAACTGCTTTATGCCTATTTCGACAGATGTATTCATAACGGATCAATATACAGTCATACTAAAACACTTGTCTACAGGCTTTGCACTGAGAATAACATATGTAAATAATTCTCAAATCATGGCAACTGCATTATTTAGCTGCTAAAGGAACTGTGGTTTACACTCTGGTCAAAACTTGTTTAAATTCAAAGGATAGCTGTTATTATCATGTTTAACGTATCTTCTCTACACAACCCAATGATCACTTGTGTGGAATTTCCTTAACCATCGACAGGACTATTAGCAGTTCCGCACCTTGTCCTGTATCCTATGAAGAACCTTAAATTGCCTTCTAAATATAACGGCAGTAATGTTTAGAAGGCAAGAAACATGTATGACGTCCTGGTGCAACAGTGTTTTTGACTGAAGTTGAATATTTTCCAGCACTGTCGTTGCACGTGACATGAAACATGTATGGCGCCCTAATGTATGAGGGTTTTCTTTAATAAAATTAAACGTTTTCTAGTAGCTGCAAGATCACTAAGTTCAAATGACATGTTTATGTTATATGCCATGAACGTAATGCCTCCTGTGCACACCTATGACAACCTCGACTAGACTACTGTACTAAGTGATTATGCACTGTAAATATAATTATTGAACACGTGTACCTTTGATCGCAAGGAGCAAGCCCTGTTATAACGCTGACTGGCCTATCAGTAGCTGACTACTGTACTAACATCATGAGCGTCGAAACTAAGTTTACGCGGATACAATGCACTCAGAAAGATATCTTGATTCACGTATAAAGCCATTAACGCTGTAAACTTCAACTTGAAAGCGGAGGAGGATTTACGAGGGAAGCATAGGTAAATAGTTTGGCGCACAGTTCTCTCATTGAAGCAGAAGACGCCACATAGAGATGGGTAATATTAACGGCGAGTAACTACCTAACAAGTATGTGATGAATTTTCATGTTATAGATAATGTAATTATGCCAAGTTAATTAACTTTTTTACAATTTCACTTGAAGAACCCAGTTACATGTTCAATGTCGTACGAATTACATAAACCAGACATACAAAATTTAAAGGGAAATCGGGACTTGGAATAGTGAATGAATAATTAGAATAAAATCAAACGCTAACAAATTACGTGCACATCCGCCACCACACAACAAGCAGAGAACACTTGTTATGATTACGTATCATCCCACCGATCAGTTTCTAAATAAAAACGAACAGTTTCCTCCTGCACAATGATTTGAAAATAGTCGTGGCTTATTATCGCAATAAAATATTTACAACTACGCGACCCATCTCCTATTTATATTTAACAATGGGAAACAACTCACGCGCGTCAAGCGCACAATCCTACAAAATTGTTGCGCTTGTGATCCAACAGATCCTAGTACACCCACGTTGCCTCTTTTCCCTTCCCTCTCTCACAAGAGGCTGTAACACTAGGATGTGAGGAACACTAGCTCCTCCCAAGGTAATTTTTACTTCTGCTTAAACCTACATTTATATATCAAAATAATTTTCATACGACTAAAAAAAAAAAAAAACTCTGGAGAGATCGCTGGAACTGTCATAAATATCATGCAATCACTTTTTCTCCCTAACAACCACCTAAGTTTCACACGATTCACAATAATTATGTAAAGAGGTCATAGTTTTAACTGGGATTCACCTCGCTCACCTCAACAATACATTTCTATTCAAGATGCATTAAAAATAATACCAAAAATAACCAGAGCTTATTAAAGGCAAATTCCATAAAATGTAAAATTTTACTGTCAACTACGAATCGTGAATCTTAACTGGATAACTTCAAAAATAAGTTGGACAAATACGAGAGAGAAAGGTTATGTTTGAGGACCTGCCTAGTACGGATCTGCAGGTCTTACTGCAGCGCTCCTCTATTCTAATAGTATGTTGTTTGAATTAAAAATATATAATATTGTATATATAAAAAAGTAGCATTTTTTCTTAACAGAGGGTATCTCTCAATTTCTCAAAAGGGTTTAAATCAATCGCACACTGCATACTACTGTCATCAATGACAATAAAAACTAAATTTTAGTGGTCCTTACGTTATCTTTTCACAACACTCAACTGTATTACAATAATTAATGAATGATTACCTATCAAAATATAAGCTTTATTCAGCTTATAGTTATTTACCTGTTTTCTAGACAGGTGTTTAAAATTTCTACAATACTTGTATGAAACATTATTATGATTATTATTAATATTATAGATAGTGGCGATAAATTAAGAACATTTAACTCAGACTAATTCAACAAAGTCACAGGCACAACAAAACAAAAGTCTGCTAAAATATTGCATCGCGTGGAGATAATCACTGGGAAACGACAATAAAAATCGACCTTCAAACAGGTCGATAAATTTAGCAGGAGCCTCACCATCACTGCCGTCAGTGTAAAACGCTGACGCACAAATATTTCATCCTTATGTGGACTGCTGTGATCGAACTTAAATATTTTTTTAGGAACTACTGCGATATCATTGTATAAGTCATCATAAAATATAAATTTTGTATATAAATAATGACTATGTAATTAATAATTATTCGCCTTTATATACACACTCCTTATATGTATTGCGATTAATTTTAATCATGTCATAACAATAATGACTGCCACTCTCAGTTACGGGTCAAATATACTATAGGAAGAAAAATGATTTTACTGATTAAGAGGTCATTACACTTAATTACGAATTTACTAAATTATTAAGTCCCACATCACCCTGGAAAATAAACGAATCTCATCACACTGAATTATCATTTAAATAATCTTCAAGTATTCTATTTATTCTTTATTTGAGTACGCTTGGTGTAATACAATTTTTGCCGCCAACGCGGCTAGTAACCACATTTTGCAGGTCAGTGCAAAAGCACATGTATACGTAAAGACAGTGGAACTCGGACAAAGGTATTGGTTATATAAAAATAAGTTCACTTGCATTTTTACAAACAGATACACAATTTTATGTTATAAGTTTTTTTAATATTCCTCAAAATTTTATATTTTTCATCAACAAAATAAATTAATTTTATGTGTCGTTCTCGTTCCGCTTAATGGATAAATAAGATATAACACATACTGTCTATGGCATATATAGCAGCTTTCGACGAGGCTAAAACGAAGCAGGAGTGCGATAATTCTGTGTAAAAGTGTAACTAGAGTTAAGACTTACGAAAGATGAAGTTAGATCCTAGCCAATACATAAGTTAGTAGAATTAAAGTTTGGGTACTTGCGGCCGCTCGGCGCCTGTAGCAGCACCGCCCAGAGCACCATCACTTGTCCTATATAACACCAACTGCGCATTTGTACACCTGTGTCGCCGCCGCCGCCGCCGCCGCTGTCTGAGCACACAGGTTCTTCACCCTCGTTATTATCCTCTGGAGCAGTTCTTGCTAAATATCCCAGGTCTCCTGCGCTAATATGAACACATATACATCCAAGGTGTACGAGGGCTGACATATGAACAGCTACAGCCACCTGCACTCACACTTGTACTTCACTGTTTGGGATACTGGTGCGATATTAACCACCACACCTGCCGCACCACCGATAGTTCAGCCACCAGCGTTAACCACCACACTTGAAATAATATAGGAAACAGAACTGACAATGCCCCAGCATGCCCACTGACGCCCACAAGAGCAAGAAAAGCACCAAAGGGGCCCGAGATCCGCCAGGGTAAACAGTCGTACCTCTTCCGTTTCAGTGATGAGACTGCTTTTGTCTTCTGTTAAGTTTTCAGAGGAGCGCTTCTCACTCTCCTCCTCATCTCCTTCGTATTTAAAGACCTTGACCTCATCTTGCGACTCGACCTCCTCACCGCTACCGGAAACGGTCGGCATGATCAAGGTCAACCTTGCAACTGACACTCGACAACACAAACGCGGAGCGGTAGAACCTCACTCACAGCACCGCTCAACGCACACTGAATGGAGGCGGGCTGCGCACACGCACACCAGCCATGAGCTCCTCCCGCTGACCAATTGTAACACAAATAGAAGAGTGAGCTCCGCCCAGCAGCCAATCATAACGCAAGGAGGTGGAATAGCCCCGCCTAGGTGCTGGAGACCCCGCCCCACAACACTGGGTGCTCTGGGGTCCTGGAGAGGAGGACAGAGGCAGCCGCCGTTTGCTAGTGATTATAACACCTTGCGCAGGTATGTTCCCACGTGCACATGCCACGCTCCCACATCCACTCTCCTCGCCTTTATCATGCTACCTTACTGTTCGAATCTAGACAAAAATATGGCAGTAATGCTAGCATCATCTCAACGTAATAGCGCAAGGAAGGTCGCTTCGCCGCGCATCTCCGCACAATTTTGCCCTTTGTCAACAAAATTTCAATATGTTGAACTAGCAGCTCTGCGCCTCCTAACCCCACGTTATATACTTGTCATAAATAAAGCAGTTTTTTACAGCCTTTTCCTAAATATTGTATAATAATATCGCGATAAAATGAGGTCAAGCAATATTCAGGAAGGAGACGGGGAGGAGTTGGAATGGGATGGGGGAAGGGGGAGCGGCGCGCCATACTCCAGAGGACCGTGCCAACCCATTATTCCCGATCCTGGAATTGGTTGGAATTCGCGTGCAGGTTTTCTTATTCGTGGTTGCGGTGGGGGAGCTGGTGACACTTCTCAATATAGGTTTGAAGGCGAGCACTCCGATCAATTGCACGCAAGGCATACATTAACATTCCACCTCCTGCCCTTCTTTCTACCTTTTCCATTTCTCGAACTGATTCTTTCTCTTTGGCTTCATATTTCTGTAATCGACTGCCCCATTCTCATTTTGTTATTTGCAATCTCCAATTTTACCCATCAATTAATCTGCTCTTTCTCTTACAATGCTCTCTTTCACAATGACGTGTATAATAAATTACAGCAGTTGCTGCTGTATCTAACATATACTTGTGCCTCTCTCTCTCTCTCTCTTCCTAAGACTAGCGTCAGGGAACACTTGTCCTGTTTCCTGATAAACCTTACCTAGCCCTTCCAAATCTCTCTTCAGTTATCATAAAGCCATTTTTTACAGCCTTTTCTTATGTTATATTTCATTTAGAAGCGCTAAACCAGTAGGGCTGTACAATCCAGGTACACTCCTCTCTTGAGACAATGTTCTCTAATACCGCAGTCCAAGGAACTGGATTTGTCCTCCACTTCCTTGGACCGAAGTCAACTGCCATCCATTTCCCCTACGGGTTTAACGCTCCCCACCATTAATGTAATATATTTTATTGAGATAAAAAGAATCTATTAAGATACTATAAGAACCTTCAGGAGTTCTTGTTCTAAGTAACTGGAGCTACCCTCCCCTTTCTGGGATCAAACATGATTACCTTCCATTCCTAAGGTTATGTATGACTTACGGATTTAGCGCTTCTCTATTAAAGCATACAATATAATGAATTTATATATATAACCCGTTACTATCTTGTAACAAGTACAGTACTACTGTTACCCGTGTAATATTAACCTACACTAGCAGTGTTACAGCCTTGTAACAAGCACAGTACCACTGTTACTCGTGTAATATTGACTTACACTAGTAGTGTTACAGTCTTGTAACACGTACAGCACCAGTGTTACTCGCGTAATATTAACTTATACTAGCAGTGTTACAGTCTTGTAACAAGTACAGTACAACTGTTACTTGTGTAATATTAACCTACATTAGCCGCTGATTGGGTTTACTAACCATAACTAGGAGATGGCACCTAGCAATCACTAAGGGACGATGCCTAGCAACCACTAAAAAATGGTAGTTAGTAACTACTAATAGATGATTTTTAGCAACCACTAAGAGATGGTATCTAGCAACTACTAACAGAGGGCACTTAACAACCGCTAATAATTCAAACTTTCATTTATCAGAAAAAATAGTATATGCGTGATCATATGCATGTAAAAAGTTTGTGCTGGACCAGATCCTATAAAAAAAACATCAACATAAACTCAACCAAATTTAAAAATAAGTGCTCTCCCTTCCCCCTTGCCCAAAACCCTTAACTCTATTAGAAGTACCAGCTGAGCTGGAAAGAGAAACAAAAAACGTACCCGGGCGAATACACACAAGACACTCAGACTACAAGAACAACAAAGCCTCTTAGCTACGAGAGCAACTTAATAATCAAGCTGGGTAAAGGGTGCCGAGTAAATCAACACACACTCGCAGTATTATGAGGAACATTGGCAGTCTCTCTGTATGTCGAGTTTGGTGACTGGAAGCAACGGTTTGATTGGTAGACGCGAGAGATTTTCCCCTGGATCCAGATATTGTGGCCCAAACTAAAGAGCTCTGAGGGCACTCACACCCCTACAGGGTGAGTTTTGGGTATTTTGAGTCACTCTAAGTACATTGTCATGCAAAATAGCTGAAAGCTGCTCACACTGTATTTGTCTATGTGTAGACAATATGTACCTAATAATAATAATTTCTTTTCTGCAATATACAGATAATGTAGTTCACATGTCAAGAAATATTGTTAGGCACTTAAAAAAGCAACTAGCATGCGGTGCATTTCAGGCAGAAATCTGAGTTCCATTTCTCAGGCAATGTATCATCAATGACGTATTAGTGCTCATCAGTTAAAACAATAATATCCCGGAAATCGACAGGGTGATCAATGAAAGAACGCTCGGTTCGAAACAAAACTGTGACTTGGGTTCAATCATAAGGTGGGGCGAGGAGTATTGGTTGGCCACCATTCCCAATGCTCGACCAGACACACTGAAGGTCAAACAACATTCCCAGTGTTCGACCAGACACACTGAAGGTCAACAACATTCACAATGCTCGACCAGACACACTGAAGGTCAAACAACATTCACAATGCTCGACCAGACACACTGAAGGTCAAACAACATTCACAATGCTCGACCAGACACACTGAAGGTCAACAACATTCCCAGTGTTCGACCAGACACACTGAAGGTCAACAACATTCCCAGTGTTCGACCAGACACACTGAAGGTCAAACAACATTCCCAGTGTTCGACCAGACACACTGAAGGTCAACAACATTCCCAGTGTTCGACCAGACACACTGAAGGTCAAACAACATTCCCAGTGCTCGACCATACACACTGTAGGTCAAACAACATTCACAATGCTCGACCAGACACACTGAAGGTCAAACAACATTCACAATGCTCGACCAGACACACTGAAGGTCAAACAACATTCCCAGTGTTCGACCAGACACACTGAAGGTCAAACAACATTCCCAGTGCTCGACCATACACACTGTAGGTCAAACAACATTCACAATGCTCGACCAGACACACTGAAGGTCAAACAACATTCACAATGCTCGACCAGACACACCGAAGGTCAAACAACATTCACAATTCTCGACCAGACACACTGAAGGTCAAACAACATTCACAATGCTCGACCAGACACACTGAAGGTCGACCAAACATTCACAAAGTTCGACCAGATACACTGAAGGTCAAACAACATTCCCAGTGCTCAACCAGTCACACTGAAAGTCAAGCAACAGTCCCAGTGCTCGACCAGACACACTGAAAGTCAAGCAACAGTCCCAGTGCTCGACCAGACACACTGAAAGTCAAGCAACAGTCCCAGTGCTCGACCAGACACACTGAAAGTCAAGCAACAGTCCCAGTGCTCGACCAGACACACTGAAAGTCGAGCAACATTCCCAGTGCTCGACCAGGCACACTGAAAGTCAAGCAACATTCCCAGTGCTCGACCAGATTACCTTACAGCTATACAATAAATCGATCCTAAGCAACAATTTACTCGACCAACGTCAAAAACACTCGACTAGAACTGTTGTTATTGAGACATAAGCAATACTAGGCCTACACTATATACTTTACCTAAATCACCAGTGGTCGACTATAATCACCAGTTGTCGACTATAATCACCAATGGTGGACTATTATCACCAGTGGTCGACTATCATCACCAATGGTCGACTATAATTACCAGTACTCGACTATAATCACCAGTGGTCGACTATCACCAATTGTCGACTATAATCAATCACCAGTACTCGACTATAATCACCAATACTCGACTATAATCACCAATACTCGACTATAATCACCAATACTCGACTATAATCACCAGTACTCGACTATAATCACCAACACTCGACTATAATCACCAGTACTCGACTATAATCACCAATACTCGACTATAATCACCAGTACTCGACTATAATCACATCGATCCTTCTATAATGATGCTAGGAAAGGACTCTTAGTCCAAGGAATTGGAGCCTCTTTTTTCCTTGAATCAAACTTAATTACTTCCCATCCCGAAGCTACATAACCCCTGTGGGTTTAGTGCTTCCCGTATAATAATAATTATAATAAACGACAACAATAAAATTTATAATAAAAACAGCAATAAATAATAATAATAATAATAATAATAATAATAATAATAAATCATAAAGAGAATCACCAACGCTAGTTCTAGTAGCTACCAAACAAAGTTGTAGGATCACCAATACGCTAGTTCACCAACGCTAGTTCTAGTATGTACCAAACAAGTTGTAGGATCACCAACACGCTAGTTCACCAACACTAGTTCTAGTAGCTACCAAACAAGTTGTAGGATCACAAACATGCTAGTTCACCAACACTAGTTCTAGTAGCAAGTTGTAGGATCACCAATACGCTAGTTCACCAACACTAGTTCTAGTAGCAAGTTGTAGGATCACCAATACGCTAGTTCACCAACACTAGTTCTAGTAGCTACCAAACAAGTTGTAGGATCACCAATACGCTAGTTCACCCACACTAGTTCTAGTAGCTACCAAACAAGTTGTAGGATCACCAATACGCTAGTTCACCCACACTAGTTCTAGTAGCTACCAAACAAGTTGTAGGATCACCAACACGCTAGTTCACCCACACTAGTTCTAGTAGCTACCAAACAAGTTGTAGGATCACCAACACGCTAGTTCACCAACACTAGTTCTAGTATGTACCA